CCCCTGCATCAATCAATCTCACTAGACTGGTGATCCATCTGCTTCTTTGAACTGTACACATTTTCCCACAAGGCACTAACCATGTCTGTCTTATCATCCATCAGTATTCCACCAAGCTGTGCAGAGCCAGCCAGTCTGTCCGCTTGTTCATTTCCCAACACAACGGCCTTCCCCTTCGAAAAAATCCAGACAATAATCATCACCTGTGTTCTCCGCAGCGAGGCATGTCACTCTGCACGAATCATGCCTGTCCTGATCTTCCTCAATATGCTTTTTGAGTCAGTTACAACCTCGATGTGTGTGTGTGTCGTGTTCTCTAACCAGCGGAAAGCTGCAGTGACTGCCTCCCCCTCCATTCTAAAGCTTGATGTTGTGGTATCATATGTTAGGCTCTCCTGCACCGAACGTTGACCATAACGTTTTGCTGAAGAAAAAAAAAAGAAACCAAGCACGTCTTTTCCCTCACGACACTCAACTGTCTGTGTAAATGATCAAATCCTCTGAGCAAGCATTATAATGAATAAATTGCTGAATTTCATTCGCCGTGGCACCTGCTGGCCAGTCTCTGGATTTCCGGCTCAGTGTGATTTTGACCCTACACAAGTCTGTCTGTTCAGGTGGCACTTTGACCCACTACTTTTTTCGCCTAATTTTCTCAAGGATGCCAACCTGTCTAATTGTGTCTTCTGCCTGAGCCATCCATGACTTCCCTCTTATCAGCCGCTGACCCTTAACTGCTCCCAGTGTTTCCTGCAAAGGGTGGTCGGTGTCTGCAGCTACCCTGGGATATTACTTCGCCTGCAGCACCTTGCGCCTACCTGCAACAATCGGTAAACCAAGCATGTATTGCACACACACCACTCTGATGCATCCCAGAAAGACACGCGTAGCTGCGTCCTGTATGCGCTCTAGTGTGTTCATCCAGCCCTAATTTCTGTAAACCACTCAGTCACCTTTGTCTACTGTCGCTTGTAGCTTCCTGGCTGTTTGTTCCCTCTCTACTCCTGCCTATTTGCAAGTATATCATCCCCAAATATGAGTATCCTTCCAACTCCTGGTACTTCTAGGTTTGCAATTTTGCTCGTTTACACGTAAAAGAGCACAGGCGAGATGGCGGATCCCTGTGGCAGTCCTTGGGCCAAACTGCATGGTTATGAGGTCCATGAGCCCAGTCGGAGAGCAACCCGTCGTGAATGCAGTACAGCTGCAACTCTGTTCACCAGCCATAGACTGACCTCCTTCTCCCCCAGTGCAGTCATTAAGATGTCGTTTCTTACTCTGTTATAAGTATTCTCGAGATCCAGTGCTGCCGCTATAGCTTCCGATCTGTTCTGGAACCCTTTATAGACGTCACATTTGGCTTTATTTCCCCATGTGTCCTTTCCTGGCCTGTAGCTTTCCCGACCTCTCGGGAGAAGCGTTCCTCCTTATCAAAAATTCTAGCGGATTTACAGCAACTATCTTCTTCACGACCTTCCCATTTTTTTTTAAGGTGAGGATTCTAAAGCCACTGAGCTTTAAATGATCTGTGAAATGTATATTTGTATGTAATGTTTAATACATTAAAGACTTATACCATACACGCCCGCCAAGATAAATATATTAAAGACCTAAACATGCAATGACAATGAAAGCATATTAGGCCTGAAGAACTGGATAGAGAAGGAGAGACTGTCAGGAGTGCCCTCAGGAGGATGACTTTCTGTAGAGAACATGATGACCAGATACCCAAGCCATGGCCTGACAATTTAATCTTATATTTACGTCGGTGAAATGCGAATTTTTGTTACAGAAGACGGAATACGACTTGTGCAGGAAAGAAAAAAATACAACAGAAAGTTTAGGACGTTGTTGCCTAAAGTAACTTGCAGAGTTCCGCTCAACACAGCAGAAGCAAAGACTGTTTCAGAGCGACTTGCTTTGGAAACAGCAGCCAGAGAAGTATGTCACACATAATTAGTATGTGTTTTAACTTTAATTTTTCTTAGAAGGCTTAGAAGTTGAGGAGCGATATTCATAACTCTCAGTTGTCAAATATCGATTTAGTTGACCAATCTTTGTTGATTTTATTAAGGCGTTGATGCAGTAACGATTAGCAGACTTAGTCAGTCTTTCCTCTTTAGCCTTGATGGCGCATAAAGTAGAGGTCACAGCTCTCTGTGTCTGGTGGTTCGTTGCCACCTGTTTTATGTCTTGGATGTTCATTAGGCTCATGGTTGAGCCTTCCCCGATTGGCAGTCTACAGGGGTATAATTATCTAGTCAAACAAAGTAGCCAGCAAACCATCCCTTTTTGGAGTCCTTGTATGAAGTACATAACTGCTCACACGCATGATACTATCTTTTCGATACTTTGAGAGTGGAGGCATTGTTTATTATATAACGTTACTACTATACATAAAATCGCTGTATCATAGAGTGGCTAATTATGTTTGTCAATAAATGTATAACCCAACACAAAATATGACTAGAAAGTTCAATAAAGTTTAAAAAAAAAAAGATACGTACCTATTGAAAGAAATTCTGTATTTAAAAATAAATGGTCGTGTTTCGGGTTTTGGTGGAGCCGGAAGGTTTTTTTTTTCCTTCTTCAGAAAAGAACTAAAGCTCCTAGGTTGGCCCAACCTTTAGTGGGTACAGGTTGATGTTATGAGAAGTAGGGGCGACAGGCGTGATTCTCACGACATCACCCACCAAGTGCCGACTGGTCCATACAATATTGATCTAGCCCAATAGTAAGCATTCAGGTATAGCCCTATACGCCATATACGCCTTAAGGCGTGGAAAAAGGACCTTCTTTATTTATTTTTTAAACCAATAGTAAGCAAAGGACCGTACCACTCCTTCGTGTGTATTTGGCATATAACGCCAGAACTATATGTTATAGGACGATCGGCACTCGGTGGATGATGTGGTTAAAATCAGGCCGGCCGCCTTTACTTCGAGTAGCTATGTTAGTTATTATTGTTTGATATGTTCTAGCCATCGTTACCACCATATTTGTACAGGTATATTTATTGCTATATTTACTGACTCTAATTGTCATTCTTTAAAATGTTCTGAAGAAAATGATAATAATATTTTTTTCTCCCCAGATGCTAAGAGATTTGTTCTTCTACACCATTTTTATGATGTCAGTGCTTCTAGTTGCCTATGGACATATGGATGTTCGGAGTCAGTTTCTACAGACCCAGTATGTGAAACATAAGTTTCTTCACACGCCTATTTTTGAGGACCCTGAAGGAGAGGTGTGAATAAAACATGTTTGATACATTTGCTGTAAACTGTTTTCTCCAACATTGTCTACATGTGATGCTGTATTACAGGCACTCATTAGTGCTTTCATCGTCAACATCATGCGTCATACCGAAGAGCGTATGCCGTCAGGGGTTTGCAAGCCAATATGATTACCAGAATTGTATCAAATTTCACAAGTCGGTTCCTGTGTCCCAATGTGAATGCGTGGAGTGGAGATGAAGGATAGAATCGACCCACTCTACAAGCATACTGTAACAGTCGAATTCTTAGGGGTATTTCCGTAGAAGTAGAAGTATAATCAAATATGTGAATTGGATGTGCACACAAAAATCGGCTTCTGGAGCAAGCTAAATGGACAAACAGAACGTTCCGCTGAAGTTTACAGCCGGTGACTAAGAAGAAGAAGAAGAGCAACAGCAGCAGCAGCATAGTAAGAAAAGAACGGAGAAGGAAAAGAAAACCTATAAGACGTCGAAGCAGAAGAAGAGAAAAGAGGAAGAAGAAGAAGTGAAGGAAGACGACAGCAGTCGAAGAAGAAGAGAAAAAAGAAGACAAATAAAGAAAAAAAGAAAAAAATAGAATTCTGGCAAAGAAGAAGACGAAGAAGACAAAGAAGAGAAAGAAGACAGAGAAGACAGAACCGGAGAAAGAAAAAGAAAATAAGAAGAATACAAAGAAGAAGAAGAAGAAGAAGAAGAAGAAGAAGAAGAAGAAGAAGAAGAAGAAGAAGAAGAAGAAGAAGAAGAAGAAGAAGAAGAAGAAGAAGAAGAAGAAGAAGAAGAAGAAGAAGAAGAAAAAGAAGAAGAAGAAGAAGAAGAAGAAGAAGAAGAAGAAGAAGAAGAAGAAGAAGAAGAAGAAGAAGAAGAAGAAGAAGAAGAAGAAGAAGAAGAAGAAGAAGAAGAAGAAGAAGAAGAAGAAGAAGAAGAAGAAGAAGAAGAAAAAGAAGAAGAAGATGCAGAGAACGAAGAGAACGAAGGCAAAGAAGAAGAAAAGGAAGAAGAAGAAGAAGAAGAAGAAGAAGAAGAAGAAGAAGAAGAAGAAGAAGAAGAAGAAGAAGAAGAAGAAGAAGAAGAAGAAGAAGAAGAAGAAGAAGAAGAAGAAGAAGAAGAAGAAGAAGAAGAAGAAGAAGAAGAAGAAGAAGAAGAAGAAGAAGAAGAAGAAGAAGAAGAAGAAGAGGAAGCAGAAGAAGAAGAAGAAGAAGAAGAAGAAGAAAAAAAAGAAGAAGAAGAAGAAGAAGAAGAAGAAGAAGAAGAAGAAGAAGAAGAAGAAGAAGAAGAAGAAGAAGAAGAAGAAGAAGAAGAAGAAGAAGAAGAAGAAGAAAAAAAGTAGAAAAAGATGAAGATAAAGTAAAGGACATAAAAAATGAGGCCGAGAAGGAGAAAAGAAGAATAAGAAAAATGAGGTAGAGGGGGGACCGATTAGCAGCCGCAGCATCATTAGCATCAGTGCTAGAAAAAACACACAAAAACAGTAGCACAAGAAACAAGCAGAAGCAGTAGCATACGCAGAAGAAAGCAGAGGCAGTGGCAAAAGAAAGCAGAAGCAGTAGAAGAATAATCAAGCAGAAGCAGAGGCAGCAGTTGGAGCAGAAGCAGAAGAAGCAGAATCATAAGAAGCAGAAGAAGCAGAATCATAAGAAGCAGAAGAAGCAGAAGAAGCAGAGAAGCAGCAGCAGAAGAAGCAGGCGCAGAAATTGAAGCAACAGCTGGAGAAAGACGCAGAAGCTGAGTAAAAAAGTAGAGGAAGTTGCATAATGTCACGCTGTTTGAATTAAGCTGTGTTATGATTTATATGTATCTTAGCCTGTTCAAGAAGGTGGATATCTTGCGGCAGCGCTCTTTCTTTTATGTCTAGAGTGGTTTATTTCGCGACATTCAGAAAATCTAAAATGGCTCATGGCCTGTTTGCGTTCTTTCTAGCCGTATGAATGTAATGTGTTTCTACGAATATATTGTCGTGAATGACTATATCCATCATCTGCAAATGACAGTTTTTGCAGGGACTGTTAGTGTAAGTACCTCTAGCGAAAACTGGTCAGTTTACTGCATGTGAATATATATATATATATATATTTTTTTTTTTGGATGGAATTGTGCAGAACAGAGCCAGAGACGAACCGGCTGATATTAAGTCGTAACCTCAACTACTACTGTAATGTTTAGCAGTTATAGCGTCTTAATGTTTTTCTTTACTTTATGTTTTCTTCTAATTATTGATTTCATTATGAAAGTATTTGTGTTTAAAACTGACGATTAAAAAAAAAAACTTATGAATTTTGAACCAGAATTTACATGTTCCCAGTCTTGGTCATTGTTGTTGCCATCAAGTATCGTGTGTACTTCCTTGTCGACTGTAGACATATTTTTTTTTTTTTTCAAATGATCCCCTTCTAATGTGTAAAACGACAACACAGGATAATATGACCGCTGACTGTGGTATTACTCTGTTACAGGAGTATGCATCCCTCGGCAAGCTAGAGGAGGTATGTCAATGATGAACAATTTGCGCCTTTCTAGTTTGAAGACCGCAGATTTACATGAGAAAATGTGGCACATACAAAATGTTAATATATGTTGTTTATAACGAAACTGTCAATGTTTTAAGGGGTCTTGTTACCGATTTGTTGTTTTCTTTTTTTTTTTTTTTAAACAATATCGGAACAATTATTTAATAACAACCTGTTTTATGCAAATATATCTTAAAATATTTTCACAGTTTCAGTTGTTAAAATAAAAATTTAAAAATAACAAGGTAAAATCCGGCATCTTGAAAACCTAATTTGTGTATGCAGAATCCTAAAATTTCTGAAACAAACATAGCCTAGATATTGAAAAATTAAATGACTGATCTATGAACTTATGTAGCATCATAAGGCCATACGCGTATTTTTAAATAAATGAAGGAATTAAGAATTGGCATCAGTGCACTCGACACATTCCAACACGTGTTCTCTTCTATTTCGTGAGTAATCACCGAAGAGCTGACATGCTATTATCATAGAAAGATATAAAACCGAACGAAAAGTAGATCAGCTAGCTTCACAATATAACAAACACAAACGAAACGTAAAGGCTTTAAAGCCTTCATCCGCACATACAAATATACAAGGGAAAACACACACAAATACACAAAATCATTTAACTAACGTATCCCAAAGCAACCACTTTGATGTCTTGCCAGTGGAATAAAGAGAAACGTTGATCTCGAGAGTAAATAGTATAGGAATGCAAGGGTTGTATCTCAATAATTAAAAAAAAAAAATTGTGTTCACACTTTAGTCCCCTTAGGGTTATGATGCCCAAGGTGAAAATAAAGCGATTTTCAAGAGTTTTGCGGACTCTGTCGCTGGAGTGGCAAAATTTAATGGCATCCCCATGACGTGGATATCTTGGTGATACTGGGAACTGAATTGCAACGGTACTGGTTTCAGGGCAATGTTCTGCACATCTAACATTTGTCTGAACTGTCTGCCAGTAGTAGACCCGTTTTGTGATCGCGTAAATGACATTAGGTCTTAGTAGAATGCCTCACGTATGTGGAGGTGGCATTTGTCCCCTTAACCACGCCTGGGCTGGTCCTGCATTAATCTGTGGCATGAAACCATGCCGAAATGGGGCACTGAGGCAGGACGTAACTCTTTTGAGGGCCAATTTTTGTTTGTTTGTTTGTTTGTTTAGAGAGCACTAATTGTGAGCGGAATTTGTTTTACTGCAATAAGACAAAGCTGAAACCTTCCTGTAGAAAACGTGTTGGCCTATGGGACGTATAATATATCTAATTAAAGATAAATGAGTACATAATAAATCTATTTAAACGTCAATATTGCAACAAAACATATTAAATTACACAACATTCAAGGATTTTAGGCACATTTAAAGAATATTTACATTTTAAAAATGTTGTGCTTACCTCAGTTTTTTACTTGTTCAACAACACTGCTATCAATTTCTAAGAATGCCTTCTCTGTTCAATTATGTATCAGCTAGTCTTTATTTGGAGCAATTATTCTGAATACTTTGTATGTTGTGATCATTTGTGTATGACATGTCATATTTCACAACAACCGAAAATTAGGAAAACAGCTGAGCATATACCATGTATATGGTACTGTCGTTGAATTGGTTTAGTTTATAGTTTGGAAAATTCGTGTTAGTCAAGAGACATTTCAGTTTGCAGTAATTAACTAAGATTTCACAAGGGGCTACCGATTAACAGTAGAAATAACAGTTGCAAGACAGAAGCTAGTTGGGAAAGAAAGTTCATGCTTTTCCATATTCAAATACAGTTCATGTAGTATTTTTAACGGCAATGCAGAAATTGAACTGCCATGTATTTTGGTGTGTGTGTGTGTGTGTGTGTGTGTGTGTGTGAGAGAGAGAGGGGGGGGGAGAGAGAGAGAGAGAGAGAGAGAGAGACAAAGAGAGAGTTACTTGCAGAAGCATATTAATAGAGACGCAGCCAGATGGCAGGACACTTTTTGTGTCTGTTAGGATAAAAGTGTCCTTTGACCACTTTATTTGCGGTTAATGTGACATTCTAAGTGGAGCAGGGGTTCTGGGCTGTGCTACGGAGTACTGCACGAGTGTCCGGTCCTCCATCGGCGTTTTCTTATACGTCCTGTGGTGTGAGATAAAATATGGCAAACAGTCGACAGACAACAAAAACAAAAGCCGGCAAGCATGCTCGTGAGTGCAGGTACCGGTTAAAATGTGGCAGGCTGTGTATGAAATACGTTCGCAGTTTGTATTGGAACTGTTCTTCCATTAATCAGAGGCGACCTATTGTCGAAAAGATTCTTTACGGAAATGACATTGTGGTCCTGCAGAAAATGCTCATTGGAGACTAGGAACTTAGAGCGGAGGATTTTCTATGTTTCTACAATCGACGTCACCTCGTGCAGGTCATCCTGGTTCGCGACAGTGTGCTGGCATGCGAGGTCAGCCTGGCTAAATTGAACAGTGATGCCTTGAAGGTGTATGCAGTCATATTGTTGACTCCCGTCAGGTTTTTGATCGTATATGTTTATGCCTGCAACGAGAAGATCGGTGCTCCGAAGTGGCAACGTTTACTTATATCCGGGAAAAGAAAAAGCATCTACAGAGAAGTCTTCAATGCCAGATGAAGCCATTGGGTTAATGTTATTACTAATAAACAGGGTACAGGTATGGAAGATGCTTAGGTATCTGGTGATCTTGTATACTTGAATAATAGACGTGTCACTAGACTGGCCACTTCACCAGGCGACTCTGGCAGTATCATTGACTTGGCTCTGGTGTCGGCAACCATTGCTCCCCTTAGCAGAGGGAACATACTGGGGTACAATGATAGCGACCACCTGCCTTGTGTTGAAGAACAGGAAAAGCAATCAGAGAAACAGAACAAAGGTTTGTCATCATCAAGGTTCGATGTGCTCCCGTAAGCAGTTGACAAAATGGACCCAGCCAACATGGTGGGATGAAGAGGTTGTAAGGGCATTGCAGGCTGTCAGGGTGTGGCAAAAGGTCAGTAACACAGCACAGCCAGATTTCCTGAATGCCCTGAAAGATAAAGCTAACAAGACGACCACGGCCTTCAATCTATGTGCAACACAGATCAGAAATGAGAAGTGAAACGAGTATAGTAAGACAGTTTGCTTGGAAGGGTTACTTGCAAAATTTTGGCGACTTCGCCAGGCAATGAACCGCACCAATCGACGGTATCCGATAAGCTGATATGCTGCAGATGTCAGAAGACGACAAGACAAATCGCGATAGAATTTAACGGCAGCATTCAGTGAGGTAAGATCAAAGAGGAGTGGCTATACAGCTACTTTCTACCGCTACCAAAACCAAACAAAGACCACTCTAAGATCAACAGCTACATAATTATTACGATGCGGAACCCTCTGGGCAAACTTCTGGAGAACATTGTAGCGCATAGACTCAGTGATGATATAGAAGTTACTGGCAAGTTACCGCCCACACTTAGAGGGTACAAGCGTCACAAAGAGACATGGCCCAATGCAGAAGTTTTCGCCATGGTGTCCTTGATGGTTTTCAGGCAAAAAAATGAGACATGTGCAGATGCACTTGATTTAGAGGATGCATGCAAGAGAGAGGCATTGGAGAACATCATGACAACTTGACAGATCAGTAGAAAAAGGGGTAGAGACAGAACAAGAAAGAAAATGCTGGATGGGCTGAAACGGTGGCATGGAGGGATATCATCGAGAGAACTGTTCCAGGCAACCAGGGATCGTTATCTATGGAGACGCATAAGCGCCTACATCAGTTGGAAGGGCACATGATGATGATGGTGATACAACAGAGTACCCTTTGACTATGTGGTGCAAATACTTCTCGAATTGAAAATATCTCCCTTATTCATTCGCTGGCTGGCTGCAGCACTGTTCCAGAAACGAGTAGTACTCAGGTGTGGTTGTTGGTACTCGAATCTAATAATAATTTTTTCCCGAAAGCAAGTATTTTTTAAGAGAAACTAATAATCTTGCTTTTTAAAGTGAAATACGAATTTTGTGAGATTAGCATGCGCGTGCAGAAATGAATAAACAGGTGCTAAATTATTCCCACAGTAGCTCTTTTGAGTCCAGAGAAGTGAGTGAACGTGTTTCCACTAAGCGGACACAAGTTAGTGTGGCGCACACTCGCGATTTCGGTAACTCCGTAGGAAGTGGTGCGTAGACATTAGCGTTCCTGCAGTCATTCCAGAGAGGAGCCCTTAGCGGTATTGTGACCTGCTATTGCGCACTTCAGAACGCTCGTCAAGGCAAGCGGCGCAGCTTACTTGGACATTAGAGTCATTTTGTTAAATCCAATTTTCAGAGAAGACCGTGAATCGGCTTGTGTGCCTGGATTGTTTTAGAAATGATCTTCAAAGAAGAAGACCATGTAAAGGGCTTTGTGTCAGGATTGTTTTAGAAATGATCTTCAAAGAAGAAGACCGTGTAAACGCCTGTGTGCTGGTACTGTTTTAGATATAATCTTCAAAGAAGAAGACCTTTATGATGATGCTGCGGCTGCTACTCCGTCTCCCCATTTTTCTCCTTCTTCTTATTCTTCTCTACTCCTTCTCGGTCTACTTCTCAGCCTCGTTCGGGTAATATTACCAGTCCTATTTGGTTAACAAGACTTCGTGTGTGTCCAGTGTGCTTGTCATGTTTGGCTGTCCCAATCTTTACTCCCGATTCGCCTATTCTTAGCTGCTTCCAAAATCCTCAGAACGTCCTATCTCTCTAAGGGCAATGACAATGTATGCGTGATCTATGGGCCGGCCATCTTTAATTAATGCAGCACATGCCAAACTATCAGCTCTCTCATTACCAACAACGCATGCATGCACTGGGACGAATATGAAAGTAAATGCACACACAGGAGAATTTTGCAATGACTCAAGCCACTGTCTGCGTAACCAGCCTGACTCGACACGCTGGATCATGCTCAAAGAATGACTCAGCACACACAAACGGGAATACTCCTCTGATCCCAGCCACATGAAAGCCTGTGTCACAGCCATCACATCCATCGACATGCTGCTGGTGGTCATGAAGAAGGCACCACTGGCTTCCCTAACTGTCCTGCCCGAAGAATGAGCTGTAAAAGCCCATGCAATATATTTTCCTCGTATAACGGACCCGTCTGTGAAGATCGCCACATCTGTATCAACTGACTTGTCACTGATAAGCACGCATACCTCGGCATTTACAGCAGCTGGATTCTGTTCCCGACAACTCCTATCGAGCGTCACGACACAGGGGAATGTGAGAATGGGCGTTTTAGACGCTGGTATCCACTCCTCACCTGGATGGATGTCTATAAGACTACAGACCTGTATGATGTCATCCTCTGCCCTACCCAGCCATGATTTGTCCCTTTTTAAGCCTACTGCCCTCTTCATATTGAGATTGCTCATACATTGATGCATTTGTTTTACAGGTTCACTCGGTGGAAGACATGCTGCATTATATCAGGACCGTTGTTGCCCCGGAGATGTTGAAAGTTAAAGGCACTATCTCTACCGATCACGATATTTATCTAATGGGAACTGCTCGCTTGAGGCAGGTTAGGTCACGGGATGACTCTGGTAAGAAACTTATATAAATTATACAGTTCTGGGTTTCTGTAGATTACGATAGAGTTCAAACAGTCTCTGGATATCTGCCTTTATTTAAACAAGGCGAACTGAAGAAAAAGCAGAACGATGGACAGCATGTGGAAGCTATGGTGCTGTTACAGTCTCATATTAAGAACACACTAGCTGAACAGTCTAGCACGTGTCATCCTTTGTGCATACATAAGTTCCCCTACAGATCGTCGACAAAAAGCCAAAGTGAAATCGCCCGCCCGGATCTTTATGAGGTGACTGAATTTCCTACAGGCCTTACCTGTAATGATTCATAGCAAAATGAAAGCAGTGTGGGTTGAGTCCACTCAAGCTCGAACAGACAGGGCAATAATCCGAATCGTTTCAGACTATATTATGTCGTAAACGTTATTGACTACCAGGTCGACCTAGTCGACACGTTGGAGCAGGTAAAATCCTGGAAATAAAGGCGGCCTGCGTGATGTAGAAAATATTACCATCTGATTCTAGCATAATAGGTCTGATGCGTCACTTAAGTAAAAAAATACTTTTACTTATTAGATTGTGTCTAAGTTACCTTCTTCCATCTCTTTCCATTCTGCCGATCTCCAACACAATGTAGGTTTGTGCACTTGGACCCTCTGTTTCTGATGAGAACTGATTGGTCCTTCTTGCCCCTGACGGAAATTGTAATAATTCAAACCAACACATATGTCTAGTATCTGGACTCTGCGTATTCTTGACGCAACTCAACTCTTTTGATCTAGCTCTCCTGACTCCTGCTATCTGATTTATATACCGTCTGCTCTCTACAGCACCTCTTGCCACTGTCTCCGTTGCCGGTATTTATGGTTTCCTCATTTGTAAAAAGCGTGTCTCCAACTATTTCTACAGAGTATATCTCACGAGAACAGTTTCTAACATGTGACATATGTTATCACACGTTCATTTACCTACCGTTCTTTAAAGCTGTTTATTTAAGTTGATTCAAGAACCGATATCACCGCATTCGGGGCATTTCTATGAGTGCTCGCCCCCATCTTCAGCAACCAGCTCATAGTTCCATTACCAAAAAGATGTTTACTTGCATATATAAATATATATATATATATATATATATATATATATATATATATATATATATTCATATATACATAAATATATACAATTATAAATGTATGTATGTATACAGATTTTTGTGTAACTATAAATACACACTTGTATACAAGGTCAGACAATTAGGAAATGAGACTGATTTTATTATGACCATGACAAAATTGCCATCTATGAAGCAAAGCATGGAATCGAAAGAGGCAGCCTTCGTCTATGATCCGGCCACTTTGCATTGCCGCCTGATAAGCAGACGACAAACAAGCCGCCATTTTATTCACTTAGTTAGATGTGTATTGTTACGAAATCAGCAATTAAAAAGTACTAATTGATACGAAGATTATACATATTTTTTATTATATATATATATATATATATATATATATATATATATATATATATATATATATATATATAATTATGCATATATATATATATATATATATATATATATATATATATATATATATATATATATATATATATATATATAAAGTAGAAGTAAAATTATCATGTCACCCGGTGAGACTGTCCCTAAAGAAGAAGAAGAAGCAGAAGAAAGGTTTGTACATGGCCGGGTTGGTGTCAGAGTTTGAGCTGTGATTTTCTTGTATACACATCATCAATTGTAAATATGCAGATGCATGTGAAAATCTGCCTAATGCATTGCGAAGTCTGTTCATTGAGGAGACCTGTTCCTACTCATCGTTCTATGTATCAGAAGAAACAAACACCTATGAGTCTACATGGAAAGTTTTGTCTAACACCTCCAAAGATATCATCGATGATTCTCCATACGTTTATAGAAGTTCAAAGGAATTGAACGGCGCTATTTTGATAGGTGGGTAAATGGCTGTCTTTTGATAGGTAAGTTGTGCCGCCATTTCTGTCTACTAATGTTTGTGATGAATGTATTGTATTAATGAGAGATCAGGTTTTGTGTACTGTCCTTGAAGGATATAAGAGCCAAAGTATTGTTCAGTAAGTGTAGATTCTACTCCAGACATCACACACACACATCTAATGACATTTACTGACCGTTACGTTAAATGATGTGAGTTGTGGAAAGTTTCTTAGTGTACATCCCCATCTATTCTCGTTGAGCAATGGATTTAACATTCACTGTTGGTAATTTTTTTAATGGGAACAAAATTCCAGTATGAAACTGCACTTGTCAGTCACACGATAATGCATTATGTATTTACGGATGAAATACTGGAATGCAAGCTCGGATTCATCCCTTGTTCAGCATCTGTATTCATTTTTTTTTGTTTCTACTCATCACGTTTAGAAAGGATTTTGAAGATAAGTCTCTTTCTGACACAATGTACATGATCTGTTATGGGGTTTCTATCAGCAGACAATGAACAGCTAGTGAATACAATGGGAAAGGCAGAATAATAAGTTGATTAAGAAAAAACAAAGGAAATCAGGAAACAATTTTTCTTACAGGTCTTTGTAGTGACATGTTATAAAGAATATATAAAATAAACAAGGTCCTGCAATCAAAGAATTTGAACGTCTTTCTTGCCACACATCTCCTTGAGGCTTTTAAAACTTATCTGCTTGAAACTAGAGACAAATATAGTAAACATGATTTGAAAGTCCGATGTAGGGTACAAATGCTAACGACAAAGTAGTCCACGACTTAGCAGATACGTGAGCGATCAGCAGTGCTGCCAGAAGAGGTACTTCTCAGTAAAATCGAAAAATGTAAGGTGGATATGTTGCTTCCTATCGGAAAACTCTAATATTTATATCAATTTTATTTAATCGGGTGTCAACATGGTAAACTGGAGTGCGACTAACGACCCGACATGCCCGCTATGTAGCGCCAAGCAGACGCTCGAGCACGTATTGTCCGCGTGCAGAACAGCCCTAGGTCAGGGCAGGTACACTTGGCACCATAAAAAAGAGTTACCTGCCGTTGTGACCAAGCTCGGTTTAAGATCTCGCTTGTGACATGCATCACTGATGCTCTGTTAAAATATGAGAACATGCGGAATCATGTTAGTACATTTGGTGGATTACAGTCATTTAATGCACTATCTTACCAGTACTGTCAACGATGTCGAAGATATGTATCTTCAGAACAGCAGCTGGTTTTATCTTCTGTATGTTTTATACATTGACGGTGTCTCTTTCATGTTGCTGTCCGTTGGAAATCTGAACCAAACTGAATGGTTTGTCTGCTTTTGGATTATTTTGCTGCAGTTTATTTTACGTTGTAATCCTTTCACGTACATGTCTATTGAGAATCCTAAGAATATTTTAACTAAAAAACTAAGCAAATAGGGCAGCTTAGGTAAGATTTTATCAGTGGCAAACGTTAATAGAGAGATCAAATGGCGATGGCTTGGACATGCTTGCAGTATACCTAAAAGCACTGTGGCAAAGACGACTATCTGATGGACGATAGATGGGAAAAGGAGACGTAAATGACCTACAGAAACCTGGAGAAAGACAGCGGGGATGTAAATGAAGGAATGCAATTTAACATGGGATACCAGAGGCAGAAAAGCAGCAGACAGGCCTCTATGAAAACTGCTGGTGAATGCTTTGTTTCACCATCACTGTAAGAAGATATAGAGAGATAAATGTACACTGATTGTGCCAACAATAACTGCAGCCTAGCTTCTAATAATTTAAGCTTGATTGACCAAGCTCTATACTCGTTGCAACTGTCAACCCCATACAAATAACATTTCAAATGCCACAGCGAGTGGTGTAGAATAGTAGCAACAGTACGCATATAGTGAATTCGCGGTGACAGCAGAGACAAACGATAGAATTTGACGATGCGCCATATGTTGCAGTCATAGATCAAGAAAAAGGGTTTGATCGTGTCAACCGCCAACAACACTTGAAAACACTACTCTGAGGGCCAGTGGAGTTGAGCCAGCATCTAGAAAACATATCTGTGTATATTACAAAGCCAAGATGTACAAAAGACAAATTCCGGAACTACAGACACGTTTTATTTACAGGCCAGTGTCCATTAAATATGTGGTTCCTCTCCCCCCCCCCCCACCCCCCCCCCACCCCCTCTCGCCCCCCAGGACCTTACTATTATCACATATGTACATCAAATCGGTAAAGCTTCTAAAAATTTTCAGTGCAAAAACATTACTTACGGCAAGGATATGGTTTCTGAGAAGAATGCAATTTATATCGTGGATGGATAGCAAAACAAACGGTGCAGTCCATATCTAGGCAGATAAAAGTCACGAACTTGTAAGAAGAAAAATCTGACGTAGACAGTCATTATTTTTTGGACGTGTTATGTGAAGAAATGGAGTAGAGAACTTGGTAAATACCAGTACTATTGATGGAAAGACAGCAAAGAGAAGGCAACGAGATAGACATCGTTATGGCCTGGATGGCAAACCGCATTGAGCTGTAGCTGGTATTGTTGTTGCAAATGTAGCTATGGCTGATGTAGCTGAAGTAGTGACGCTAAGCAAAAATTTAGTAAAACACTAATGCCGTTTTAATTAACTAGGTAATTTAGTGGTGACACTTTTTCCCCTAGACAGCAAATCTGCAGCAGCGATGGTTCCTTCTCACAATTATTCACAATCTATTCACTGAAGATCAATCTGGAACTACTGCTACCAGTCCACATGTCCTTATAACCCCACTAAAGACTTTTAGTTAGGGCTTCTCGCATTTCCTCAAGAGTGGATAGATTGTTTCATTATATGAGAATTGCTAAGCCTGTTGGCGGATACATTTGTTTTATGGTTCATGCAGCTTTTTCGAGTAATTGTAAAGTGCGTGTAATGTATGTAGATATTATTATTACACTGTCGGAACACTTTGTACTCTATAGGTTTGAGTGGGTGTGACCTAGCTGGAGATTTAAATAGTAGTCCAACCCCTTACTGCTAACTGTGTGTTATCTGTATGTTTAAACTTTAACCATCTTTCCAGGTCAGCATGGTGTCTACTCAGGTGGTGGATATGTTGTTCCGTTTGGTCAAGATGATCTGGAGTCAATACAAAATGCGCTTACCAGACTCTACAATTCAGACTGGATTGATGAATTATCAAAGTAAAAACACATTTCGTTCAAGTTCCACACTTTGTTTTCGTTTGAGGCATTGCTGGGTTTCTGCAATCCTACCTAATGAAATGACTCCGTACATTGCACAGGGTGGTAGCATTTGCTTTTTACTGTGATAGAAAGTTGTATATTCATTTCTCAAAACACTATATCTGTAACGGAATCTAAATACAATGTTTAATCACAATTTTTATACACATAATTTAATCACTGCACTCATATATTGTACCTAGTCCTTAATTTCGACGGAGCCACTGTAGTCCTTAATTTCGTCGGTGCCACTGTTACTAGGAAACAAATATGGCTGAGCCAGGTGCAAACACATATCGTGACTGTAACAGACTCACATATCATTCTCAGAATTGTGGAGTCAGTCATACTGCGTGCAGAATCCCGGAAAGTCAGCGTTCATTTTGCCTTTTCTCTATGGCGTTCAGGTTTTAAAGGATTATGTTCTGTTAAGAACCGACTTCGCAAAACTCAGGACTCTCCCATAGGCCCCTTGTCCCCATCTTAAGTAGCTAGCGCAGAGTTCTAATTTCGATAGTACCAATAGCAGTCTGATTATGTCGGCCTTGACTTTTACCCAGTGTTGAGTGAAAATCAACCAGTTCACTCCTCTCTGCACCATTCTATAGGAGCCATAATTATTCACTGGCTCCGGTGAGAATAAAGTACTTTCCGTCCTTTTTGAGATAAAATGTTTCGTTATTTGAAGCCTTACTCTGGCTCTTGCCAGGGGCCGCAATATCATCATCATCATGTAGCAGGTCCTTTGCAGAACGTCGCTCTCATCACAGTCTGCCTATAAGAAACTCGGCCTCTTGCCAGTTCTCCCGCCTCATGAACTTTCACACTCAAGAAGTCTCTTATATCCTGTGCCCATTTTCGTTTTGGTCGGCCCCTGCCCCTCCTTTCTGGTACCATGCCTTCTGCTATAATTTTTTCTAATCCGTCGTGGCGCTTGATATGACCAAAATATTTCAGCTTTCGAGAAAGGATGCTGTTTATTAGCCAATCTTCCTTGATGTTCAGAAATTTTAAGATATCAATATTTCTCATCTTCTTTGTCCAAAATATTCTGAGAATCTCTTTATAGCATTTCAGCTCAAAAGCCCCTATTCAAAATTCGCAATATAGACTAGTCATAAATATGGCCTAAAGACTGAACGCGGTTTCAGGGACCTTTCCACGGTGATCCTCACATGGTGGTACGTTATGTCATCGGGTGTTTATCGCTTGTGTGATGTCCTGGTGGGGTAGAAAGTCAGTCAATCGACTGGCTCCGGTAGGGCGTTGACAGCTTCTAGATTGCATGCTTCAGTTTAGCTCCAAGCAGTGCAGAACATCCCTCTCTCCGTCCATTCATCCCCCCCCCCCCTCGTAAGTGAGCACGCAAGCAGAATTGATGTTTGAGAAATACATTAATTTTCACTGTTCGGTGTGTAGTCAATATCCTATCAGCAGTGCTGGTTGTTTCGACATTCGCAGTGCTCTTGCACGATCCCGCACGACACTTAAAGGAATAAACTAGGCAATATACGTAACTGAAACAATTGGGTACATTAGAATTGAGCCTATCAGTTTGAAGACAATGACGTGTGTATCACAGTGAACACCGTAGCTCAGATTTTTTATCATACTTAAAACACGCAAATTTTTATCCAAAAAACGTGGCAGTGTAATTTAACCCCCACCCATTCGCCACTCCCCTCCGCCACTCACCTCCGCCACTCCCCTCCGCCACTCACCTCCGCCACTCCCCTCCGCCACTCCCCTCCGCCACTCCCCTCCGCCACTCCCCTCCGCCGCCCTCCCCCCCCCCCCCCAAAAAAAAAAACGTGATGAATATTAAACACCTTCTAATCAGAAGCAACATTAGCACGGTGGCCAAGACTTTGTTGTCATTCTCAAACTCTTGCGTTTAAATCCGTTACAGATAAAATCGGTTGACTCAAGAGTCGACATCACAGCACTCCAAACCTTTCCATATGCAATTCATCCAAATCTTCAACAACAAGCACAGAGTTGCAGTTATGATGGTACAAGTAACAGTCTGATTGTATGTCCGTTTCGCCCTTCCCTTGAGTGTTGGGCGTTGGTCAGATTTTATGGTCACTCCTCGCAACCCTATTCTCCTCAGAGGGTAATTATTTGTGTTTTTGCATAGTTCACCGGATCCCTCTTTGGCACAACACATTTTCTCTGTCCTCACTGTCCAAGAACTTTTCGGGCCCGAATCGGCCTCATCAGTCATCTTCCTACTCTTCATGTTTGATGAAAATGAGTGGTCATCATCATCTTGATGGACAACACACACACAAGTTACTGACGCTGTTCTGATGCTCTGGTTGAAGTTAAAAGCCATCTCCCTCAAGTCTTTATCACCTCGTGGTCTTCATGTAAGCAGACCCAACTTCAGCTGGTTTCGATGCTGTGACGTTTGTCTTTTGCAATGTATATTTATATACCCCACCCTAATGATGTCCTGATAGTAATTATGATGTATACTATTCAATGTATTACCCCTTACTGAATGCGTAAGTTATTATCTTGGCAACATTACTTCCTCTTTATTGCAACAACAAAAAAATGAGAAAACAGGCCAGCTGATAAACGGAAACGACAAGAATCCAGAGATCCATTACCGCATGAGATAGCAGTAGAAGCCAGTATATTCTTGCAACTTATATTATGGATGTTGAAGCAGACGAACACAAACATTAGCAATGAATAGATCAAGCGACGTTTTAGTGACAGTTTAAAGATGTCCTGGCTACTTTTCGTTTTCATCATAAATGATACGAGTTCTTTTATCTGTTTCTTGATCACTGAAGTAAGTTTCACAACTGGGTGACTTCCGTGACAATCTGTTCAAGATAACGTTTTTAATAACAGTATTGACAGGCTACACGGTAATTTTTTTAATTTCTTACACATTTTGAAGGTCTTTATTTTAGGCTCTTATATTTGGGTCTGTCGGTTCTGTGGCTAAGTCGATGCGAACGCTTCGTAATGCCGGGATGCCTAGTTTGACCATAGCTGCGGGCGATGCGCCTTGCTTTGGTTTTGACAGTGGTACAAGAAAGCCGACCTTCCAGAAAGCAATGGCAAACTACTAGACGTAAATTTGCCTAGAAAAACCACACAACAGCGCTCTGCAACGTCCTGTAAAATACGCAACTATATTAATTATATATTCGACGCACTAGAGGTTTGAAAAGGATCCCTGCTCTGTTAGCCTTTTTTTTTTTTTCGTTTCCCCACTGTTCTTCTTCAATATTTTTTTAAGTTAAAGCAGCAGACTATATGCGTTGTTTAATTAGCTAGTAAATTTGAAATATGCGTTTTTGTTTGACATAGATGCATATTTGTGGAATTCACGCTGTATAATGCTGCGTCCGATCATTTCACAAACGTCATCATTGCGTTTGAGTTTGCCAATTTTGGAGCCATATATCCTTCTGCCTTCATTCATTCTGCGAATCTCCTAAACAAAGAATTGAATGAAGAACTGTGGCTACAGTTGAGTGAGGTAAGTACATACGTCTAAAATATATTTATAAAATTAAACACGCTGTCTGATGTAAGACCCAGAGACTTGTTATCGACCTGTTTCTTCTATCTTATACTTAGACGGTATACGAATCAAACACACATGAAAGCCATTCTCTCGAAAACTGCTTATTAGAGAGCAACGATTTTTTGCTTGCAGCCTTAGAAAATCCATGACGCAACAAATAGTTTTATTCTTTGGTCTATTGATGCTCAGGAGGCTGAATACTAGCCAGTTCCTTTGATCTGTTCGAACCATTGTAAATAAGTGAAGTGAGCTTTTAGATTTTTCAGTAAACATCTGAATTTTCGTTTTTTTTTTTTTTTTTTTTTAGAGGTTTGTCTCCATAATGCACTGTTACATGAAGCACATTTACTTGTTGTCATATATATTCTATTGAGCTGAGTTGAGCTAAGTCAAGAAAGACACCATACAACTCGGTGCAGTCCATTAAGCGCTCAGTCCCCATCTTCAGCAGCCATAGCAGAGTTCCATTACTGTTGGTACCAAACGCAGTCTGATTATATGTCCATCTTGCCATTCGTCTGAGTGTAATGTTCCGGCCAGGCCCTCTGGTCACACTCAGCTGTATCATTCTCTCCAGGCCATGATAATCTATTTTCTGTTCTGACTTCATTACTTGTTCCAAAAGGTCCTTAACCACATGTTCCTGGTCATGCATCAGTTCACCACCCAGTCGTGCAGATCCAACCAATCTATCTGCCTTGTTCAATTGTATACATATCCCCAAAATACAACAGTTAGTATTTTACTTCGGTCATCATCAGAACCCAGGGTGTATCTTAACTGTGCAGCAAATTGTATTATGGTTGACACATTTGAATATGGAGATGTATTTGTTGCAATTGTAGATGCTCCAAACGGGTTGATCATATTAAACCACTCATCGAAAAATAGTTTTAATCATTCCGATGACAATCCCAAAAGGCTGATAATTGTAACTGGCTGAACAAATTGTAATCTTTCTCAGTGCCAGGCCCTCTGGTCACACCCAGGTGTATTAATCTCTCCAGGCCATAATAATCTAAGCTCCTCTCGGAGCACATGTTCAACACTCTTTTTCAAGACTTTAACATCACATATGTTAAATGTACTGTTCTTTTCGACAACTTTTTTTTTAAAGCCTATATATGTTATATCGGTTTGAGGTGTGAATGATATGAAGGGAGTCGCAGAAAAGTATTCATTGATAATTTTGTCAGTGTGATACGCCTTTGTCTTACCCGTTTTCCTCACAAGCTGCACAACTCTGCCTTTAAATATGTGAAGTAAACATAGATTTTTTTATTAGCAAGTAATGTCCTAATTTGACAAGCTTTGCCGTGGCCCAAAAGGGTGAAATCCAGAGGAGAGAAAATAGCTTTCAGCTAACAGTGTCTGTCATACCCTCCTCCTCTCCCCTCCACGCAGTCATATTGCCCTCTCCGTAGGATTGAAAACCATCACCTAGCGAAATTATTAAAATAGAAATAGTTAGGAAATGAGAACATCAAAATAATATTTTAAGCTCTCTCACCTAACTGTGCACGGCATAACCCCCCCCCCCCCCCCCATCCCTTATCATATCTCCCTCTCCGAAGGATTGAAAAATCGTCACCTGGCGAAATTATTAAAATAGAAATAGTTAGAAGAAAAGAACTTTAAAATAATATGTTAAGCTCTCGCAGGTAACTGTGTCTGGCATTATTCCCCCCCCCCCCCCCCCCCCATTCATATCATCTTCTCCGAAGGATGGAAAAGTAACCGTGTAACGAAATATTGTAACTAAAATAAGCTTTGCATCCGTGTCCACCCAGACTTAAATAGGTAGCAGTAACTTGTACAGAGAAGTAAATGCAGCCAGTGTAACAGCTACCACATCACCCATCCAGTTCCAGTACTACTGCAACCACAACCACCACCGCCATAACAACAACAACAACACAAACTGTCACTACGGTCTGTATAGGTTGGTGTAGAAAAGAGGAGTTAGCGTCGCATGCTGTCGCCACGGACTATTTAGTTTAATTTTGCCGCCGACAAAGAAAAAAAAAAAAACAACTTCATTACGTAACCAGTGATGGAACCCACAGTGAAAATTACACTATACTCATGAATAGTGGAGAAAAATACCCCGCACCCGTCATCTCTCCCTCTCCGAGGAAACGATTTTTAACTGACCTTGGGATCTGTGTTCACCCAAACTAAACTGGACTGTAAGCCGTCTTAGTTAACAGTTTCTGTCATCGCTGAATAGTTTTTTGATCGAGACGCGTCGTGGGTAGGCTAATTAGGACTTAACTGAAATCTGATGTCTGCGAAAGGCACAGATATCGCAGTCTAGCTGTAAACCACAACACAACGAGGCAAGCACACTTATAAGGGAAAAAACAATTATCACCCAGCGGGGAATCGAACACGGGTCACCCGCGTGAAGGATGACATTTTTACAACTATACTAACGACGACTGAAGAGTTTAGGTCAGATATCGCAGCCTAGCTGTAAACCACAACACAACGTGCCAATCGCCCTCCAGAGGGCGAACGAAGATTACCCGTGACATGACCTTTGAGCATCACGTAGCCGCTGTCGCAGGCTAGCTGTTAACCCCACAACCGAAAAAGGCGTAGATGTCGCAGCCTAGCATAAACCACAACACAACGTGCCAGCAGCCCAGTGAAGGGCTAAAACAAGTATATCACCTAGCTGGGAATCGAACGCGGGTCACTCGCATGATAGGCAAAATAGTTACCAACTACGCTACCAAACACTCAAGCAGGTGGTGAAATTGAAATTATATAATAATGCAAAGTTTAGTAAGAGCTCAGCAGTCAAATATAGCCCAAAAACTAAAAACAAATCCGGGCCGACAACGAAACAAATAATGATTTGACCGTTGCTGCAGCTATGTCGTTAGCGGTTTGTGCGATTTTCTGACAAAGAAATCACGCTTGGAGTCAAAGGCAACATTGTGTGAAAATTTGAAAGCAATCGGTTCACTAGTTTTCGAGTTTTTAGCTTACAACATGGGAAAATTACCATTTTTATTAATATAGATTTGAAGTCGTTGGTACCCTGTCTTTCTCTGATACTCCATTATGATAGGTGGCATTATCCATTACTAGTCACGATGGTCTGTCCAAAATTAGAAGATCATTCTCCATCCAGTGCCTTAAAATGTGTCTATTCACTTTAATGTGGTGGTCCCTACCATTCGTACTTTTTGTTTGAAAAATAAGGCAATCGTCATGGATAGGGCTTTTTTCACTTTTTTCTGCTTAAATGGGGTTAATGCGCAGGCCTTTGGTGCTTGGAATGTTTCTTTTCTGTACACCGTTTATTGACTGCAATATTTTAGCATAGGTATGGTGAGCATTAACCCAGGATTCATCTAAATATATATTATCATAGCTTCGTTTCTGTCGCACACAGATCTGCCTCAAGTATTTGCTTCGACTAGCAGTCAAATGTGGCTTTTCACAAATAATATTTCCTTTACCTACAGTTTTATGAAAGTGAACCTGGTTGCTCTTACATTTTTCTACAATCTACTTTTTGAAATGTCAGTACTTCATTTTGTTCTGAATGTTAATTTTAGTTTTCAGAGAGTAACAAGTCCATTTTTTATCTTTTAAGATGTCTAATGACATCTAAATCAAAGTCATCAACTTTCGTTTAACTTTCTTGCCTGACATGAGTGTACTAGGTAGGTAGGGAAACTGTACTCCACCAGAACATCATACAGGCGATAAACTCCTGGTGACACAAAGTGCTACCATGCGGATGAGGTTCCCGTGGAGTGGTCCCAGAAACCCCGTTCAGCCATAAGGCCATTTGTATGGTCCGGCTTAGTTTGGGGCCCCACGGCATAAAACAGGGTGGGGAGACTCTGTGTCATGTCTAATCCAACGGGTAAATGATGCTCTATCCAGACAAAGCTCCAATCGTGTTCGTTTCTCTGGGTCATGAATATCACACAATAAATCACACATCTTAGATTCCCTGAGGAAGTGATGGTACAGTAAAACCTTCTGCTTGGTTATAAATTTGGATCTCAAATTCAATTTGAAGTTGATGTGTATGTCAATTTTTATAAGCTAGCTTTGTGGCACAATAAGTCAATATTAATTTTCGATGCGCCTTTGACCGAAGTCGTGAATTGGTGCCAGGTCACTAAAAATGCGACTTTGCAAGAAAAAATCATGAAATTGCGTAGGTTTCGTTGACTATAAATATCACAACTAACGTCAACAGTAAGACATAAGCAGAACTTAAAAACAGTAGCTGGGTGCAGCGTTACAATGTAGGGGATCGAAGTTATCTCCACTTATATCCACTTCCATGCACAATGGGCTAAAGCAGCTTTGCTTTCGGGAAAACAACTCAAACGGTCCCTAAAACAAACGGGTGAAGCTGCTGAAAGAGCTTCGAGCTGGCTCTAGACGCAACGGACGTCTTTAGGAGATGGGCCTCGGTAGAGTGGTCCGAGTCCATGAAGAAAAGGAGCTTTTTTCCCCTTAAAAGCCAAAGTGTCCGATCGATGTCTGCCAGTGTCCCTCTGCCAACTGCTAAAAGTCTAAATTGTGTCTGGTGAACCAACTGTAAGCCCTGGAAAGACTGGCTCCCCGGTAGCGCCTGGATGTGACCTGGAATTTTTGCAACAGAGGGTTGACTGTTGACCGGGCCGATCACTCCTAACAGAGTATTAATACCTCAGATTTCGAAAACCAATAATCATATATGCACTCCGGGTCTATCGAAAGAGAAGGAGAATAATGGACGCAAACCAACTGATATAAACGGTAACGACCCCGCTAACGCCCGGACTTAGATTTTTTTCCCAAAGGACAGGTTTGCAGTGTACAGGTAGAAAAAGCTTCACGATTTTGCAAGGACTCAGAACGCATGCAAGAAATGAAAGGGTGTGCTACGCAGTAAGCGTTGGCGCATAGCTACTCCTGTAGTTAACAAGTTGTTAGAGAACGACGGGCTTGTCGCACAGAGCGGCCTAAGACGCCGATTAGGCAGGCGATGGCTATAGTGTCAAGGTGCAAGCTGGAGAACACACTTTGTAAGAAAATTAACTGTGCATTTAAGAAAATGTCGCCAGGAGACAAGCAAACACTGTTTGGTGACATACTTTACGATCACGGTTCCCGCGAGTTCGGGACAGTAGAGAAGATGCAGCGGGGCGTCACGCAAGAAAAAAGCACAAGGCAAAGGGACATTGAGAAGTGCAGAGCAGACAAGAATGCACAAAGAAAACAGTTCAAAGCCGCCTCAGACAGCAAACGTGAGGGACTGTAAGAGTTCTGGTTGCACCTGTAAGCCAGACACAGTGTCGCGTTGAGCGTTTTCGTAAGAACAAAAAAAAAAAAAACAATTAAAAGGAAGCGACAGAAGTTTTTTTTAAAGGACCCGTTCCAGTTTACACGGGGTCTGTTCGAGCAACTAGATTCTGGTACTCTGCTGTTCAGTGAAAAGGAGCTTGAGTTGTGCACAGTTCCTGAAGATGTAATCCGATCGGCCAAGGAATGCGCCTCTCAATAAAAACCCAGTGTTCACCAACGGCCTGAAGCGGCCTGAGTTGCTGAATGTACCGTTCATAACGAAGCCTCCCTCTTGGTCAGAGATTTAAGATCTTGTAAAGATGGCTAGCGGAAAATATGACCAAGGGATTAAAGGTGTACCGTACGTCGTGTACACACGTTGTGCGAAAATCCTCCGAATGTTTCACCGCTTGCTGAGATTAGCGTGGAGTCGAAAGCACATATGTACGCAGAGAGCCAACGGGGTCTACATTCCCAAGGAGCGGGACTCCTCCAGCATATACCGATTCAGACATATCTCGCTGGTGAATGTTGAGGGCAAAATATTCTTCTCAGGTATGGCTCGCAGGCTCACACAGTATTTGATAGCGAACAAATACATCGATACGGCTGTTCAGAAAGATGGAATCCCTGGTCTTCCCGCGTACCTTGAACACGCGACTATGATCTGGGAGTCTATTCAGAGGGTCAATGCAGAGAGAACCCAGCTGCACGTGATATCGTTTGACCTTGCAAATACCTATGCAGTACTGCATATGCTGTTATGGCAGGCCCTTTGCATGTTCCACGTACCAACACAGATCTCGAAAATGATCAAGCGATATTTCTCAAGTTTTGCTATACGCTAATCTACCCCGACGTTTACTATGAGATTGACATAGCTCCAGGTTGGGATAGCAATGAGATGTTTCATCTCGCCGATACTGTTCGTTACGACCATCTAGGCCATGCTAGACTGGGCTGCCAGTTACGGGTAAGGCTTTCAGATTAGGGACCACTGAATGCCGCCACTACGTGCATTTATGGATGACACGACTATCATAACCGGCAGTGAGGATGATGCCCGCACGATTCTGGAAAGGGATGACAGTGTTGTGAAATGGTGTGGAATGCAATTCAAATCGCAGAAATCGAAAAGTTTGTCAATCCTAAAAGGTAAGATGGCCGCAGTCAGTTTTATTGTGGCAAGGAATCGGAATCATACGGTTCTAAACGAACCGGTAAAGAGCCTTCCCTGCGTCTACGATTCGAAACTATCTGACAGAGCGGAAAACCAGCGACTACACGAGTCAGTGGCTGCAGACCTGCTCGCGATCGAGCGATGCAGGTTTATCGAGAAGTTTAAAGTCTTGTATCTCCAGTTTATGTTGATCCCAAAGCTCCTCTGGCCGCTGCTTGTATACAAGGCAGGCATGACGGTCGTTGAAACGTTGGAGCGAAAAATCACAAATGTTATGAGGAAGTGGCTTGGGGCACCGCCTTGTCTAACCGATGTGGCTCTGTATTGTAAACAGATGAAGCTTTTACTTCTGTTTAATTCAATTTCCGAAGAGTTTAAAGTCTGCAAAGTAACACTTGCGATGATGCGGCGCGAATATTTAGACCCAACAGTAGCAGCTGTCAAGTCCGCTCTAAAGACAGGTAAGAAATGGAAATTAATCGATGCAATAGAATCTACCCAAGATGGAATGACATTGAAGTAAGTCATAGGTTACGCACAAACCGACCGTCGAGGCCTAGGGCACGGCAAAGACAGTTGGTGGCCAAAGCCACAGCCAATGAGCGCCTGAGACATGGTAATACAGCAGGTAAGGACATCGAAGACTAGCTCCGATAACCTTTTATGCGGAGAGACATTTCTTGGCTTTGGGTATTATGCGGTCTACGTATTTTTTTTTAAATTCTAAGCATCTGTCAAATGATACACCCACGTATTTCATGGTGTCAGATTTTTCCACGTCAGCACCACATAGTTTTATTATAGGCATTGGTGTTTTGGAAAGATGATTATTTAATAAGAACCAGGTGACTGTCGCATTTGATGGAATAATTGTAGCACCTGAGGTGTTGCACCAGGATGATAGATCTGCTGTAGATCTGAAACAATCCCATCTCTGTTCCTGCCATGTCGATACACAAGGATGGCATCCGCATGTGATAGAGTTCTCCCTCTGCTACTCAGTTTTTCCTCTGTAATCTTGACTGTAAACGTTGAAGAGAATAGGAGACAATGGAGAACCCTGTGACAAACCATAGTGTATTGTTATCGGCTCAGAAGACCAACTACCACATCGAAGCACGACCTTCCTCTGAAAATGGGAGAATAATGACGATGTTGTGCATAATGATGACGTATACGTTTTCCTTGCTAGCATGATTCGATGAAGGGTTCGATCTTAAGTGTGGATGATTTGTGGACTGACTAAACTAGCTTACCTGTTGAAAACTAATTGTATGTAATACATTTCAGGGAATTATGGCGATATGTACGTTGTTTTACGCCTTTGTGGAAATTCAAAATTATCGCAAACTGGGCCTCAGGAAGTACTTTGGAAATCTCTGGCGCTGTTTAGAGGTAGAAATTAGAGTCTTTGCTGGTTTGATAATTCTTTCTTGCTTGCTTAACAAATAGTTTAGCGTTGCGAGGAGTTACAAGGGGATCTAGCCGACACTCGACACCCAGGGGAAAGGCGAGACAGGTATACACTCATACAGTTACTGGTACCACTAGAATTTAAAGTCTTCGCTTGCTTCTGGAGATGGGGACGGAACACTTATGGGGGTGTCCCGAGTGCTATGATGTCGATACTTAGTTCAACATTCAACAAATAGATTATTTTTCTGCGCATACTCAGTGTATTTAATTCTACATCTAATCTAAACAATAATCGACGGAATATTTTGGCATGCTAAATTTTTTTAACTCTCAAGAATCATCCTACTGTGCGTTCACCAGTTCGTGTCGATGTTTAAAATTGAATTATATCTCAGGTGTAATGGAATATACATGGATGAAATTATACATTAATATTTGCCTTTTCGATAATTTGAGGTATATAAGCATAGAATAATCCTTGCATGATGGCATTTTAAGAGTAAATAGCAAAACGTTGACATTTAACCAATCGATCTTTCCCAAGAACACTTGTTTTTTTATGGGTGTGTGGTTTTATGGAAATTGTGAATAAGACCAAGGCTTCTGTACATTAGTTCCTGTCTCAATAGAATAGCGATGAAAGTTAAATTGGTTACACGTAACAATGTAACAGTACCATTACTGAATTGTGTCTCATTTGAGGCTAAACGCGAGTGTTGGCATGAACATTTTAAAGCCAGAGAAATTAACAAAACATGACCCGGGTATTACTGACCGGATATTCTGACGAATTTCTCTATGAAAGTCCAATATTTGTACACATACCAGTTTGGCGAGGGAGGAAAACCGAAAATTGGCCGATTATATAAATAAGTTATTAAAGGAGCAATACATACACTGACATACAGTTTTCAAAACTCTCGATGTAAAATAAACTGCATATATTGCCCTCTCAGCCATAGGTACAGAGACCTGGATCAAATGTGAAGACCATATGATACAAGAAGAAGAAGAACACAGACAGAATAATGATATGTGCTTCTTTTTCGGCCTACAGCGTTCATAAACTTCTTTGACTAATCTGACACTGATCAGGGGTAGTAGATTGTATGTAGTGTTAATTCCTTAAGGAGTAAGGTCAAAAATTAAAACAACGTTTATATCTATAGTGAATTTTTTAATTAATAAAAACAACAACACTGACAACAGGAAATACAACATAATAGCAGTCCTATTTCTTGTAACACACACACACACAAGCATACGCACGCACGCGTGGACACACACACATACACACACACACACGCGCGCACGCACACACATATAAAGCGTGTTGGCCAATCCCTAGTCACAGACGCCCAGGTACTGATTAGACGTCACATTAATTGTCTGTTCATAAAATGCTCTGTACTTTGAAGTTTATACTTTCAATTTCACGACTTTAAAAAAAAATTGTGAAAGCGTTTTCACAAGTTAATATAGCAACTGACAAGTTGCGGAAATGATGTTCATTTAATATCCTCCCCATATTACATTTCAACGTATGTGTGTCTCTTCTGCAGGCATTTACAGTAATTCTTACCTGTGCTGTGGGAATCATCTTCTTTTTGAGATATTATGAATTTGTGGAGATCCTAAAGGAATTTCAGAAATATGGGCACACGCGTTTCCTGAACTTCGAGGCTGTATTTCAGATGCATGAACATCTACACATATCCCTGGCAGTTCTGGGGGGAGTCGTCATTTTTAAAATGTTGAAAGTCACAGCGTAAGTAGTAACTGTGTGTATTATAATAATGCATCAATAACATTGAATTGGAGATAGTGATCCTGATTTAATTCTCCAAAGAGGTGGGAGGTGGAAGCTTCTCTGACCAGTACGTTTCCACCAGTCGTCAACTCCTGAATGCATGCAAAATTAGGTCACGCGAGTCATTTTAGGGTGTACACTTTTGCATGTTGCACATACTTGGATTGTCGTCTGTATATCAACGATACAAGGTGCTGCAGGCGACAATGGAACACCTTCTACATAAAGCCTTAGGAAGGGGGATGGGACGGACAAGCAGGGTCAACAGCTGAAAAGAGGTGGATCTTGAGGATTAATCTGTTACACTACCGCCCCCGCAGAGCAGACTTGCACAGAGGGATAGTTACCGTGGACCGAGAGGGCCTGCAATGGATAGCTGGTGAAACAGATGCATCAGCACAAGAGCCTTTCGGCGTATAGGGCATCTGGGCTAGACCTATATTTTATACAACAATGGGCACATGATATGGGATGTGGTCAGCAACACGCCAGCCACCCTAACTTTCCGGGACTGTACCCGGTACCCACTCAAGATTCGGTTGACCTTGGAGCCAAGGTCACTTTTGGAAAAAGTCCGGCTTCACTAGGGAGCAAACCCACGACCTTTCAATCACGAGTGTCTAGCCGCTCCGCCACAGCGACTCCTAAAGTATGCTAAACTGAGTTAAACAGGTAGCATACTTCCAAGTGAATAACGGATGATTCTCGTTCGCACACTGAGAACACTCCTTTAAGGAACAACAAAAGATTCACCGTCATTTGATTTGTTCATCCTAAAACACTTTCGGGTACATGAACCCGGCACATAACATCACCATGAATCAACCTAAGTTTGTCTGAAATATGGCTAACAATCATTAACCACACATGTTACTCATCCTCTGACAAGTAGCACTGCGTTCCCATATACAGCCTTCACTACTGCCGATACGCCTTTTGAGCACTCCGCTATTGTGTCACGGTCGCCAAGTAACCCTTGCTCTCGGGCTAGCAGTAAGATTGAAAAGGATGTCCTTGCATTACTCAACAGACCGTAGTTACCACCACTTGGTAGCTGTCACTCCTATGTGGACTGACTAGGAACCTTTAAGCCCTCAGTTCCTGCCAGGTGCACACAGCAGGTCAGCCACTATCAGGAATCCTGCCATGTCCGGCTTGTCCTCCCAAATTTGTCCCATCAACTCATCGCTGATAGCCAACATCCACGAGGTGGTAATCCCTCGTTAGCAGAAACAACTCTGTCATGTTTTCGTAGTAATCGTACTTCGTCACCCAAGACAAGCACCCTCACATCTGCTCTTCTCGTCTTCTCTTCTCAACTCTGCTCTGTTCGGTTCTGTTCTGCTACTCTGAGCTCTCTCTCTGCTCTGCTACTCTGCTACTCTATACACACGTGTGGGTCCCATGGGGTCCTTCGTGATACGCAGAGACCTCACATCATTCACGTGTGGGTCCCTCGTGACACCCGAGACACCTAATCCTTCATGTGTGTGTTTTCTGGGGTTCTTCGACATAATTGCCACGCTCACCTCATGCACAGTGCCCTGATAACTCACACGCTCACCTTATGCAATCTCCTACAACATGAACTAAGTATGAATGTTTACTCATGTCTCATGAGCATCCCGTGAACTGTTTGCCCAACGTGCATGCCCTAGCTTTCCCCGGGAACAATATTGCTACATGCAAATCGACACACGATACTGGTAAATGAAATGTCACACCAAGATAACATCGTTATATACACATATGGATCTGTAGTGAGACATATTAAGAGTGTTTTTGTTTTTTTTAAATTTATTTATTTTCTTTTTAATTTGTAAAAGTGAATGAATTTTGTTTGAAAACGGAAAGCCTCACGTGTAACGTAACAAGATCAAGTGTGAGAATGGAGGTGGAGGCAATAACGGCAGCTTTAGCTTCTGTTACAAAATAAAACTGACGCTTTCCGCGGAGAGTGGCTTAGATGGCTTGATAAGACTCATATCAGGAGAAACTTATGGATTTGCTTTCAATGACATTCGGGTGTGCGGGATAATAAAAAAGCTGACACTTTGGCTGCTGTCGCTTTTCTGCGTGTTTAGCTACTTTATGTCAAAACAGACGTTGTGAATGCTATATGAGATCATGTGGACAGGGCAAATGAACAGACCATGCATCGATACATTGACTAATTCAGCGTTTAATTAAACATTTATTGTTAATATGACTGTTTAAAAAAAAAATTCACACGTGTAAGTCCATCTGCAGGTTCAACCCTTTAGTGGTGATAACATTCAGGTCGTTCCTCAACGCCCACGCCGACCTGTATGGTTTGCTGCTTGTGACCGCCATATTGTTTCTTGCATTTGCTGTCACGGGAATACTTCTCTTTGGGGCCATTGTGCGATCATATCGGTCCGTTACTATTAGTTTGTTTACTCTTCTCTTTTTTATTATGGGAGAGTCAGAATATGATTCTTTGGTAGCAGCTGATGTTTTTTTAGGACGCATTTATTTCCTCATGGTGACAGTTTCATCTCAGTATATCATTGTGAATTTTTTCTGCTCTATTTTGTATGAGGGGTTTGAGCTTACTAGATACATGGCATTCAGGAGGGAACAAGAGACTGTCAAGTACATGGTGAACAGAATTAAATTCTATTTAGAGTTCGGACCCAAAAATGTGAAAACCAACAAGTCCAGAAAGCTATAAAAATCTGTAACTATGTCAATATCGATCAAAAGGTTTTTAATCGTTTGGTGCACTGCGTATATGGAGCAGAGGCTGCTTCACACTTTGTACCAGCACTTTTCTACTTTTACGATAGACCGCTTATAGCAATACTAGAAATATTCAGGAGTGTGTGCAAAACGAAGCTATGCGACTAATTTTGGGATTTGTGGGAATAATTAGGAAACGACTTCACAGCACTGAGGACATTTCCATGAGTGTCAGTCCTCATCTTCAGCAGCAAGCGGGGAGATTCAATTCCGATGGCACCAGTACAGTCTGACTGTATTACGTCTTATATTTTCCCTAAGTTTTAATCATTGTCAAGATCCTTTTATCACTGTTCTACTCAGACTGTGATGATCCATCTGTTCCTCTGCCCTTACAACATTTGTCTTACCATTCATCACATCAACACCACGTTGAGAATCTCCATTCATTCTATATGTTTGTTTATTTCCCAATTACCGGCATGATACGAAGAAAATATCCAAAGAAAACTATAGGTGCTTCTGAAGCAATGCTTGCCACTCTTTACGGTACACTGGCCTTAATCCATCTCAGCATGCTCAGTGAGTTGGTTTCAGTTTCGACATTTGTGTACAGCTGATTCTCAATTGAGCGAAAAGCTGCAGTGACTGCCTCTACCAACATTCCCAAACTGTACGTTATGGTTTCATATGCTAGACTTTGTTGCACTAAACGACGTCCATTCGCTCTTACTATGAACCCATGTGAACTTTGTCTGCCTCGCAACACAAACCTATTTGTGTAGACAGTCACATCACCTGGGCGAGAACTGTACTCAACCATTTGTTTAAATTCTGAGCCAATTGACATATGCATACAATCTCAGCCCATGTGCTGAGAACAGTCCTCAGTCTGACTTTTGCCGGGCCAATCTGACCCTCTCCTCTCCTCGTCTAATGTTATCAAGCCTGCACACACGTCTAATTGTATCTTCAGCATGGGCAACAGAAGACCTTTCGCTATTTAGCCTGGAACAATTTAGCTCTGTCCAGGGATTCATACGTGTGTTTCTTGTCTGCGGTTACCCTGAGATATGAATTTGCTTGTAGCACTCTGAGCTCATCTTTAATAGTCGCCGGTGCAAGTGTATCTCGCAAACGTATTACTTTGGTTTAATTTGTATCCTGGAATCGCTCTCAAGTCTTCCTTCTGTATGCGTTCTAGTTTTATCACCTGTCTCTTTGATACCATTATGATACCTACATCTTCAAGAACAAGCATATGGTGTATCTACGTTAAATTACAATATATTTATTTTATGAATCAGTTGGCTTCGATTTATGCTAAAACGTTTATGTTTCTTGTTAATAATTTTCCAAAAATAGTTCTGTTCCATTGAAGATAACAAAACTGAATTATCTTGTATAACTGTTGTGAATTAACCAATTAGTAGATATTATGCTGCCGAAAAAACAATAAATGCAATAATATTATGCAATTTTTTCATTGTTTTTGCTTGTATTATACACTCTTCATTTTACTGAATCTATGTATGCAGTTATGGTCAATTTCTTTCTTTTTTCTCAATAGTAGTAAGTTTTTTGTGCATGTGGATTTGCACTTGGGTGTGCATGCTTTTATCTCTCTCTTTCTCTCTCTTCCCGCGTGTGTGTGTGTGTGTGTGTGTGTGTGTGTGTGTGTGTGTTTGTGTGTACATGTAAAATTAAAAGCTACACAGTAATCCTCACAGAACAAAATATCGAAGCAAAATAACTAAGCGCCATGACTGGCAAATTGTGTTGTTATGTTAATCAGAGTCTGAAGAGAATGGTGCAACTGATGTGGTGGTGATCAGGGAATTTACAGGACGCTCCACGGTCAGAGGAAAGGCAAGATGGACATACAACAAGGCCGCTACTAGTACCATCGCAGTTGGAATTCTGCGCTGGCCTCTAAAATCAGGATGGAGAACACACCGGAATGCCCTGAGTGTTGTGATGTCAGTTCATAGAACACAACTCATTTCTGATCTGGGTCAATGTAGATAGCAGCTATATTTATGAAAGTGTACAAACTATGCTAAGTCATTTTGTGATTGAAATCAAGAGAATGATGACTGAATCAAAGAGCTCATTGCATGTAAAAAGATCAAGTTAAACAGGTACAAAAAAGCGGCACAGTGCTTCTCGCGCAATTTTTACAATCACGTACGATCCCAGTTTCGGTTTAAATAATCAGTTAAGAAAGCTAATGTTGCATATGAGAGTCAAATGAGGAATCTTATAGTGAGCCAGCTGAGTTCAATTGTAGTGCAATGTATGATACAAGGAAGTATGTGTAACATGTGTACATTCCATAACGAAGGCAGTCTACATCGTGGTCATATGGTACCTATTTAAAATGCAAACATGGCATCACATGGCCACAGTAGTTTAAAAAGCATGGGTAATTGCACGGGCAACCTATATCTATCCTTAGAGACACTGGTGCTACGATCTCTGGAATAACAAGAGCCTGGCAAAGTGCTTCTCGAGCAACTTTTACAATCACGTACGATCGCAGTTTAATTTTAAAAATTCAGTTAAGAAATCTAATGTTGCATATGAGAGTCAAATAATGAATCTTATAGTGACCCAGCTAAGGTCAATTGTAGTGCATTGTATCATACAGGGTGAAATGCGAGGGTGCTCCACGCAGTAAACGCCGTCGCAAAACTACCACTCCTGTGGTAGTTTCTGAGTCGTCAGGGTACGACGGGCAGGGTGAACCCCACTCGCCCGGAGAGGCCCATGACGTCGACTGCGGAGGAGCACATTTGATGATTTCTGAAGAAGTGCGTTCCAAGATCAGGTTTCCACCTGCGAGCGAGAAGGTGGTGTGGTGTAAGTTGGAGGTTACATTATGTGAGGTACTTAAACAAACTCTAAACAAGAAGCCGCTAGGCGACAAGCTTACTAAATTTGGTGATGTAATATATGAACACTGCTCCTGCGAGTTCGGGACAGTAGTAAAGGCACAGCCGGGTGCCAAGCAGAATATTAGCAGAAGGCAGAGGGACATTCTGAAGTGTCGGGCAGACAAGAATGCCCTCAGAAAACGGTTCAAAGCCGCTACAGGCAGCGAACGGGAGGGGCTGTACGAAGTTTGGTTGCATTTAAAGAACAAACACAGTGCCCTCTGTCGTGCCGAGCGTTTCTGTAACAACAGACGTAGAACCAAAAGGGAGCGAGAGAAATTCTTTAGGGACCCGTATCAGTTTGCCCGAGGTCTATTCGAGCAACCGAAGTCTGGGACTCTGGTTGTCAGTCAGGAAGAACTAGAGCTACATCTACGCAAGATGTACTCGGATAAAAAGAGGAGTGAGCCTCTCGATGATAATCCAGAGATCCTTAGCGGACTCAAACAGCCTTCGGTGCCGAAGGTACCATTTAAAATGGTACCTCCCCTTTGGTCTGAGGTTGAGGACGTTGTGAAAAAGGCCAGCGGCAAGTCTGCCCCAGGTCCGAACGGTGTTCCGTACGTTCTTTACAAGCGTTGCACGAAAATCCTTAAAATGCTTCACGTCTTGTTGAGACAAGCGTGGATCCGCAGTCACATATGTCCAGAGTGGTCAAAGGCAAATGGGGTCTACATTCCCAAAGAGCAGGACTCGAAGAGTCTTTCCCAATTCAGGCCCATCTCGCTGTTGAATGTTGAGGGTAAGATATTCTTCTCAGTCATGGCTCGTCGGCTCACACAGTATCTGATGACTAACAAGTAGATAGATACGAGTGTTCAGAAGGGTGGTATCCCAGGCGTTCCTGGGTGCCTTGAACACGCGACCATGATTTGGGAGGCTATCCAGAGAGCCAAGCATGAGAGAACCGATTTGCACGTTATATGGTTGGACTTAGCCAACGCCTACGGGGCAGTCTCCATAGGCTACTGTGGCGAGCCCTTCGCATGTTTCACGTACCGACACAGATCAGTCAGATGATCGAGTAATATTTCTCTAAGTTCGCTTTGCGCTTCTCTACCTCGACGTTTACCACGAGGTGGACTGAGTTGCAGATTGGGATAGCTATGGGCTGTACGATCTCACCTATACTGTTTGTCATGGCAATGCAGATCATGTTAGACGGGGCGGCCGGCTACGGACTGGGCCTTCAAATAGGGGATCACTGGTTGCCGCCACTACGCGCATTTATGGATGACACGACTATAATAACGGGCAGCGAGGAGTCTGCCCGCACGATCCTGAATAGATTGGACGCGGTGGTCCAATGGAGCGGTATGCAGTTCAAACCGCAGAAGTCGAGGAGTCTGTCAATCCATAAGGGCAGGGTGTCGGCGACCAGTTTTACGGTGGCAAGGAACAAGATCCTTACGGTTCTGGAGGAACCGGTGAAGAGTCTCGGTCGCGTTTACGATTCGAAGTTATCTGACAGAGCGGAAGTCCGGCGAATACATGAGTCACTGGCTACAGGCCTGCTTGCGATCGAGCGATGCAGGCTGATCGGAAAATTCAAGGTATGGTGTCTCCAATTCATGTTGATTCCAAAGCTCCTATGGCCACTGCTAGTCTACGAGGTGACGATGACTGCAGTTGAAGCCATGGAGAAAAAAATCAACACAGCCTTAAGAAAGTGGATTGGAGCACCGCCTTGTCTGACCGACGTGGCTCTGTATTGCAAACAGGCTAAGCTGGTACTTCCGTTCAAGTCAATAACCGAAGAGTTTAAAGTCGGCAAAGTTAGGCTCGCCATGCTTTTGCGCGAGTCCTCAGACCCAAATGTCATCGCTGTCCAGCCCGCTCTAAAGACTGGTCAGAAGTGGAGGGTCCTCGATGCGATAGAATCTGCTCAGAACGCACTAAAATTGAAGGAGATAATGGGTTACACACAAACCGACCGTCGAGGCCTAGGGCACGGGAAAGTCAATTGGTGGTCAAAGGCCTCAGCCAAAGAACGCCGAGACATGGTGATACAAACGGTGAGGGACAACGAAAACGAGGTTCGGGTCCAGAAAGCAGC